CTGTCAGCTCTCCTGTAAGATTTGGTGAAAAGCATAATGAATGCATGGTAAGGTGGTGTTGCTTCCTGTTTCAAAGGTAACAGCTAGCTCTACTATTTTCTCAAGATAAACCAGTTGCGAACATGCTCTCTTATATGGTGTTGACTGGGAGAAAAGGGCCTGACAGCTCACAAGATGGGTGGTACAGCAAATCTCTTAACTGGATGAATATTAAGTGAATGGATGAATGCAGCCCTAACGGATATGAATGGCAAAGGGATGAGGGGAGGGCAAACAAGGAATCACCCATTCCTTCTTCCTTGAAGGCAGTTCATGTCATTTCTTTCTGCTGTTGCTGTTTACAGCCCTGTACCTCACACAGCATCCACTCTAGCAGTTTGAACTTGTTTTAGCAGTATCTGGAAAGGGCCTCCTTACATGGGTTAAACCACAGAGCCTAGGGCTTGCCGATCAGAAGGTTGGCGGTCTGAATCCAAGTGACGGGGTGAGCTCCTGTTGCTCGGTCCCTGCTCCTGCCAACCTAGCAGTTCGAAAGCACATCAAAGTGCAAGTAGATAAATAGGTACCACTCCGGCGGGAAGGTAAACGGCGTTTCCGTGCGCTGCTCTGGTTCACCAGAAGAGGCTTAGTCATGTTGGCCACATGACCCAGAAGCTGTACGCCGGTTCCCTCGGCCAATAAAGCGAGATGAGCGCGGCAACCCCAGAGTTGGCCACGACTGGACCTAATGGTCAGGGGTCCCTTTACCTTTACCTCACACAGCATCCAGTCTAGCAGTTTGAACTTGTCTTAGCAGTATCCGGAAAGGGCCTCCTTACATGAAGGAATTAAGAGGAAAAATACAACCCACTTCACAGCCATAGTAACAAGACACTTTTCCTCAGAGTCCAATTTTCCCTAACAATCAGAAGGGCAGACACAGGGAAATTCAGCTTGAACACACAGACCTAAGGTAGTCACCCACTGTTCCACAAGGAACATTAGGAAGGCCCTGGATGCAAAAGCTTATAGAGAAGTGCCAATTTGAATAATTACATCATCATCAAATTAGAGAAAGTAATAACTGCTGTTATTCCATATTGCACTAATAACAAACTCAATTTCCCAAGTGCCAATTCTTATGTAGCTAAAATGGCATTCCCACACAAGAGGGAATATTAACAGGCTGAGGACAGCTCCAAGGTTTACAGAACTATGAAAAAACTTTGAGCCGGGGGTGGGGGGCAGAACCAAGCAAGGAAGACTTTGAATCATCCCAATGAAGATCAAGCATATTCCGTGGCTACGACATGATAGCTGGGGTGGGGTGGAGGAACAGATTGGAAAACTAAGGGTGGGGGAGTGGAATGGAGTATCCTGGGAAAGGGCCTAGCTGGCATCCTGAACAGGGGTACTCTGCACTGCAACAGTTTATTGCAGGACCTGCTTGCAAAATAAGTAAAACAAACAAGACATTTTAAAAACTTTGACAACACTTATCCAGCTGCTGTTATAGTAATTATGGCCCCACAGGTAGAGATTAAATAGAAAGGAGCTATAGGGTTGTAGAGCAGTCACCTAGAATCAATCTCTGCATGGGCAAACTGTCTTCGTTTCTCATTCTGATGGCATTATTAAGGAAGTACATACCATATCGGCCCGAATATAAGCCGCACCCACAAATAAGCCACACTTTTAAAATTTGGCGGCTCAGGGGAGGCTTGGGAGCAGTGGGCAAACTGCATGCCGTTGCCCCGTGCTGCTTCCTATGGGTGGGAGCCAGCCGTGCTGCTTTGCTGGCGGCGTAAGGACACAAATATAAGCCGCACTTTAACTTTTCATGATCAGAATTTGGGAGGAAAGTGCAGCTTATATTCGGGCCAATACAGTATAATCGGTCTGAGGAAACATGATGGTAGAAAATGGAATTCGCTGTTTCTTAAGATATGCTGGGTCCTCTAGGAAATTATTATTATTTACTACCACTATTATTTATACTACCACTACTACTATTTATTCAACTTATATACTGCCCTTTAGCAAAAGATCCCAGGGCGGTGTACAACATTAAGAACACATTTTACAGAGCATCAATAATAAAAATGTAATAAAAAGCACAATGACATATAGCATAATAATGAAATAATCATAATGATCCCAGCCAGCCAACTTTAACAGGCCATAGACTATTTAATGACTAAAGGCCTGGATAAAGAGAAATATTTAGATGGGTCTTTATATGTTAAAAATCAATACTGTGAAATCTGCCTAAAAGACAACAGGGAACTAGTACTGGTGGCAGGAGCAGTGATGCAATACTCTCCAGTTGACCTGCCTCCCACACCTCTCTCAGCACAAGATAAGTCATCATGTTCTGCCCAGCTGCAGCTTCCTTAAATCAGGCAAGCAGAACCTTCTGCCCTCTGGATGTTGTTGGACTGCAAGTCCCATCAGCCCCAGCCATCATGGCCAATCATCAGGGATGTGGGGAGTTGTAGTCCCAACATCATTTGAAGTGTTCCTGGTAAATTCATTACAATGAGCCACTGGTGAATGGTAGGTTCGTTACAATTTAGATCTTTCTTTCTTTCTTTCTTTCTTTCTTTCTTTCTTTCTTATAAAACCCCCCACTAAAACCAAGTACAGTCTTACCTCATGTTATGTTTGCTTCATGTTACGTTTTTTCAGGTTGCGTCCCGCGGCGACCCAGAAGTACCGGAAAGGGTTACTTCCGGGTTTCACTGCTCGCCCATGCGCAGTAGCGCTAATCCGCGCCATGCACCTGTGCAGATACGGCGCTTCAGGCTGTGGGCTTTTCATGTTGCGAACGGGCCTCCGGAACGGATCCCGTTCGCAACCAGAGGTACCACTGTATCCACAAGCTCCTAGAGGCATCAGAGCAGCTAATCAAAAAGAGCAGGATTCAGATAACTGGAAGAGACCCATGTAAAAGGGTAGTTTGAGAATAAGACATTCCATCATGGCTAGAAGAGATGCAGAGAGAGGAAAATACTCACCACTTTCCAACGGTCCTTCACCACGTAGTTGGCCGGCAGAATGTCGACCTGCTCCCCTCCCCCACTCATGTTTGGTTCGTCCTTGATAGCAGCTGCTAGGCACTGCATTTGCCAGCCAGAGAATATTTTAGTAGCAGCTCCCAATTTAAACGAGCCATTTATCTAAGGAAGAAGAGGGAAAACACATACACACGAAAGGGGAGAGAGGAGAAACACAACAGAATTAATGCAGGTCATCACAGGCAGATCGTGCTGGTGAAACAACCCCCATTTAGACCCAGTGAGAGGAAGTAGCACTAGGAAAGGTGGCAAACTCACCTCGGGGTCAGAGCGCAGCTTGCAACAAGCCTTGCTGGCGCAAGCAATTGCCCTCTTTACAAAATCCTCAGCGGTCTTCATGCACAAAATTAGCAGAAGCGACCATGCTGTGAGTCAGCAGCACAAACTTAAAAGTAGTGAGTAGTGAAAAGTTACTGGCTTACACCATGCAGGGTGCTTTGGGGGAGAGGGTGGGGAATTGAAAGCCAGCAACTCAAAGACAGGCCGAAGCCAACTTCTTGGATATTGTCTGAGTACCACAACGGTGACAGGAACACCGTAAGAGCTAAATCTGTTCCAAGAACATAAATGATCTCACTGAACTAAACAGATGACTTTCTCTTGAAACAGCCGCCTTTAGCACTCAGCTGACCAAGGACTGCCAGGTACCGCACACAGCAAGATCCAAGGTGTGCTCTTTAGAGTGTGAGCTTTAAGAACGGCTACCTCCATAAGACAGCCAAGCAGAGAAAAGAATATGTTCAGAACTGCTTCAGCCTTCGGTGTATCGGTCGTCTTTCGACTAAGAGGCCCTATCAACAGTTATGTAAAATACGGAAGATTTCAACTCTGGTCCTCACCATGCTTACTCAGAAGTGCTATTGATATGGATGGGTCTCGCTTCAAAGAATGCAAACTTAGGGTTCGTCCTTGTTTCTGTTGCCTTTCCTGTTGTTGGCTATGGACAGTTTGTACTCGTTTATCCTTGTCTATTCCCTGCAACTGGGTTTGATCACGTGTAACGCATAATATTTCAAGGTTTTATTTGCTATGCTATACATGATTTTTAAACCGCTGTTTTAAAACACTGGCTGGGGGCCAATAAACTGAAACTTATTCCTGATAAAATGAAAGCACTGTGCGTGGTTGCTTCCCTAGACTCGGAAGGGGAGATTCAACCTGCTTTGAACAGGGTTGCACTCCCTTTGAAAGATCTGGTTCACACCTTGATCCAACTTTGTTGCTTGAACAGTGCGAGTTTACAGCTTCTGGTGTTTCTACCAGCTTAAGCTGGTATGCCAGTTGGAATCCTCTTCTGCACAGGAAAAGTCTGGCAGCATTTATCAATAAATGGTAACATTTGTGTAGACTACTGTAATGTGTTGTATGTGGGGCTTCCCTTGAAGATAGTTCAGAAGCTGCAATTAGTTCAAAATATAGCAGCCAGGATTTTGACTAGAACTTGCTAGGAACATCTTCCACCAGTTCTAATAAACACACAGTCAAGGAGCCGGTTTGTATCTTTAAAGAGTTTCACAGCTTGGAAACCCAATTCCTAAGGGTCTTGCATATCAACTTTCCAAGCACCAACACCTTCCACTTCGAGGCCCTTCTCAGAATGGCACCACCATCAGAAATTAAGCAGGCAGTGCCTTCTCATCTATGGCACCTCAACTGTGGAACTCCCTCCTCATGGAGGTTTATCTGGCACCCACTTTATTGTCTTTTAGGCATCAGGCTAATCCATGTTAATAGTTGCAGGCATTTTAATGGGTTACATTTTGAAATAGCCTTTGGAAGATGCTATATTTTAATGCACAGTTTTAATTGTTATTTTAATTTATGTATTGGTTTATTGTATTTTTTATTATTCTTTTGTTTTAAATTACATACCTGCGCAATTCATCTGTGATAAATATTATGAAGGGTGGTATACACTTTTCACGCAGCACTCTTGACATGTGTGCATATACGTATACATACATATATATATATATATATACACATACGCATATATATATGTGTGTGTGTGTGTGTATGCACAAACAGACACATATGCCCAAACAGCTTCTAAACAGTTTACAGCTATAAATCAATGATGAAATACATTACACTACTTATATAAAATAACACAATCTCCCTACAAAACGTTATGTAAGCAAACTAACCCTCAAGAAGTGAAGGTTCCTCATTACAAAAACATTTTCTGAATCCTCAAGGGAGCTAGTGAGCAATTAGAGAGAAATTATTTTTTATTTTTCTGTAAGTAGAGCACAGCAACTCTGTGCTCCATTTAAGTCCTTCTAAAGCCTTCAAAAATTCTACTTCTCTAGTATTGGTTCTTTGATAATCTTCTAAATTGGATGGGAAGAAAGACATTAATCCTGAAAAAGCAATCCAACTAGCCCTACAACTGTGCAGCTTCCCACACAGCTTTCCTTGAAAGACATGGAGATTTGTGCAGCAGTTGTAATAGGTAGAGGTCAGATTCCATTAATAAAGCTGGCTTTATTAAAGTGAAACCTGGCCATAGGTATTCATGTTTTAGTAACCTCCATTTCAGACTACTGTAACATGCTTGACGTGGGTCTAATTTAAAAAGAGTTCAGAAAATTAGCTGGTGCAAAATTATAGCTGAGGCCAAACGTCTGGAGTGCCAAAAGTTTAGCCTGAGTTTTGGAGGGTTCTTGTTTTTTTGGGGGGGAGGGTAAAAGTGCTTCTCCCTTTTTGTATTTTATGAGTGAATGTTAATAAAACTTAATGGAGTACTTTAGCTCTAGCTAGTAGTCACCATAGTTCCCCCACAGATTGGGAGTGGGGTGGGCAGAGGAGACAGTGGTTGCCAGTCGACTGCAGCAAGGGAGCTACAGTAAATTCCCCCATTAGAGTCCCATGCTCCACCTTCAACGATAAGCAGAAATCCCCCACTGCACAATTTTTTGGCCTATAAAAGGAGGCATTTTGCTGCCATCAGACTGTTGGCAGAGTTATGGTTCAGATCATATTACTCTGGTTCTGTTAATCTACACTGGCTGTCTATTTGGTTCAATGGCCACTAGGCACATAGATTTCTCGAGTAGTGGCACCAATTATATGGAATATACAAACACACAAATAAAAAGTAAAAACCACATAAAGAATTAAAATAACGGTTCTTCAGCTGTTACAATGCTTTTCTTAACAGTCTACAGAAAAGTTTTCAGCAAACATTTAAAGGTCAATAAAGAAGATGCCTGCTGAATCTCTATCAAAGGACAACTCCACAGGGCTGGGCCAATAACTCTAAAGGGTTCGGCTTTGTGTTGATGTCAATAAGCCTCAACAACTAAGGGGACAACCAGTGACATTCCTAAAGGTGATCATTCCTGTAGGATCACTCCTACAGATGATGTGGGCTAGAAGAGTTCAGGTGATCCCTAAAGGACCCTGGACTTAAGTTACTGAGGTTTTAAGTTGTTTATTATAAACTTATTTTGTGTGTATATATGTATATCTTACTTTTACTCTGATTTATTCATTATTAAGTATATTGACGGTTATGTTTGATTTTAAAATAATAACTTTTAAAAATGAAATAAACTGTCCCTTTTCTTTGGATCATTCAAACTCGAGAAACAACAACATACAGGAAGCTATTTAGCAAGCTTTGAACAGTATCTCACATCTTCTAGGACAGCCTTCCCTAACCCAGCTCCAGGTATTTTGGAGTACAATTCTTCCAGGACCCAAGCTAGCACAGCCAATAACCAAGGATGATAGGAGTTGTGGTCCAAAACAACTGGAGGGCACAGGGATATGGGACTGTCAGTAAAAGTTCCTGGGAATTTATTGAGTCCTCTGGAGCCTACAGCACAGCTTCTGCCAATCTAACTGAATTTCACACAATTTAATCATTTTCAGGGCAGGAAGCCAATGCCCTTCAAGGTAAAGATGCTGACTTGCCAGCAGCTGCTACTATATGGCACAGCATAACAAGAACTCTGCTAGATCAGATCAATGCCCCATCTAGTCCAGCATGCTGTTCTCACAGTGGCCAACGAGATGCCTGTGGGGAACACGCAAACAGGACCTGAAAAAAACAGCACTCTGTTTGCACAGTGATTCCTAGCAACTGGTATTCAGCGGCATACTGTCTCTTGACAGCATCAGCCATTGCTCAGTTTATTTTATATTTGTAACGCATAATGGCAAATATTGACACCAGTATAGTTTAAGTGTGAAGTCAAGATAAACCCCACGTTCTTTATAATTTTCCCCCTCCTTGTTCTCCTTCCCTATACTGCTTTTTCTGCATTCTTGTAAATATCCCAGCTATGTCAAAGGCTTGGGTGTTTATTCGCCTAACTTACCATTTCAAGAATTCCAGCACCTGCCTGACATTTCAAGTGCTAAGCTTGCAAAATATTCTCTCTTCATTCAATTTCATTCAGGAAATTAAGCAGGCAAACATTGGCAAGAGAACTTGAATAATGGGTCCTCTTTTGCTGCCTCCTTGTCACCCTTACTAAATACCAGTTGCCTGGGAGATACTAAGCAGCGACACACATTCTCTGTGTGTAGTGTGCACTAAGAACTGGACTTCTGCTTCTTTTGCTAGTGTGCCTTTCTGAACTGAAATAATGCCCAAAATAATTTATCTACGAGGCATCAACTCATAGATTATATCCAGCCAGATGTAGACAAGAGCACATAAGTGTTAGTGTGGGATACCTTGCTTTGAAGTTAGCCTTGAAAGAAAGCTCATGCAATTGCTATCTATCAATAGCAGTTGCCTCTTTCTGAACAAAGTTGAAAAACCATACATAATAGAAGTAATTAGCTTTAAAATAAGCAACTGGCTAGAACAGGCAGCAGGGAAGAAGCTGGGATTCTAAAAAGCCTCTAGGAGAGAATTGTTTTCAGAACAGTACTGAAATCAGCTAATGTATCCCTACATGGGAGACAGCTAAACAAATGCAGGTTACAACCCTGTACAGTGGTACCTCGCAAGACGAATGCCTCACAAGACGGAAAAGGGTTTTTGGTTTTTTGAGTTGCTTCGCAAGACGATTTTCCCTATGGGCTTGCTTCGCAAGACGGAAACGTCTTGCAAGTTTGTTTCCTTTTTCTTAAAACCGTTAATACAGTTGCGACTTGACTTCGAGGAGCAACTCATAGCACGCGGTGTGGTAGCCTTTTTCAGGTTTTTGAAGACTTTGGTGATTTTTGAAGCTTTTCCAAAACTTTTCCGACACCGTGCTTCGCAAGACGAAAAAAACCGCAAGACGAAAAAACTCGTGGAACGAATTAATTTCGTCTTGCGAGGCACCACTGTATTAAATAATTAGTAGAGTTCTCTTAAGGAAGAGTAGAATGGAGATCCAGTTTTGGAACATTATAGATCATAATGCAATTAAGAAGGGTCTTTTATGAAGAACATTCTATTTTCCCTATTATAGCTTTAGCAATTTTGGAACGTCTGTTAGAATAAAAAGCTTTAAATAAGGAATCTGTGGTGTTCAACATGCCTTTCCTATGTTAAATCTCTCACTTTGAGTCTGCTGCAGCATTTGCCCAAACACAGCCAAAATATAAAAAATAATATCCAAAATCTCTTCAGAATGCTCTATTGCCTCCAATCAGCAGAACAAAGCTATGGAAGTCTGGCTCTCACCATCTTACTAAAGGTCCTGGAAAACACTTTAGTGTTTTATGCACAATTCTGAAGAACTGCAATATCCCAGTTTATTTCAGGATACATCCTCACCTCAGGAAGCCTAAGAATTAGAACAATCAATGTTTATTCAAATTGTTGGAAATCATGACCACCCCACAGATTCATCACCAGTATTTGCCCACCCAAAATAAATAAGTTACTTATTTTACTTAAACTGATTTATGTGAGCCAAGGAGAGGTTGTTAAGGAGCTCGGTGGGTGGGGGAGGGGAACATACCTGATCCAGCTATCTGGAGAGTAGGATGAGAATTCCCAACAATATGAGTTGATTTTAAAAGAGTATTGGTCCCTTCTCAAAGCAATAAGAGTAGAAAGAGCAGAAAATTGTATACAGATTTTAAACCAAGATTCTTGCTTTTGTCCGTCTCCAAAATACAGAGAGATGCTTTCTTTTCTTGGACGGAGTACAGAGAGAAATGGCAATACAGGGAACAACTGTATAAAGTAACGACCCGAGTAGTGTTTTTGCAAATGAGGAATAGCGTGGTTCAGAACCCAACATCAATGAATTACAGCATGGGCTACTATTATTACGCGTATATCCTGACACTACGCAATACAAAATTTTAGTAGTCCTCTGCCACACAGATCTTACTCAAGTCCCCTGCATAGTAGGTTAGGCCAAGAATATGACTAGATCAGGATCACCCACTAAGCCTTATGGCCAAGCAGAGATTTGAGGCTAGGTCTCCTGAGTGCAAGACCAACACATTTCTTACTCTACCACACTGGATCTCAGTGGCAAGGTTTAGTGTGAACATGCAAGCACGTGGGTTCCCAGAGAGATCATGGCCACTTTGCTCCTCTCTAGTTTTGCTGCTATATCATGCTGAGTAAAGCCATAGTTTGCCTTAGCATGGCATCTGAACCTAGCTCATGGTTCAACTCTCTCCAGACTAATGATCAGCTTGTTGCTTGTCCAAGGAGCTAAACCATAAGCCCAGATGACATGCTAAGCCAAACCAAACCACGCTTTAGTTCAGAGTGATGCAACAGCAAAACAATGAGGAGTGAAACTACCGCAAACCCTTCTTCCAGAACCTGCATGCATTCACAATAAGCCATGAATTTTGATATGTGGACCAGGTCAGAATATTACAGGCAAAGAACATTTAGAAATTCCCATTCTCAACCTATGCTTTTTTTTGTATTTTTGTACAAAAGCAATTAGCAGACTTGTGCGGTATTTTTAAAAAGCCTCAAAGACAAAAGTAATGAGTATGATGCAAGAGTAAAGCAGACAGCAAAACATTTAATAATGAGATGGTGTTTTAAAAGTTGTCAGGTTCTGCAGAAACCACAGATTGATTAATTTTATGTCACTG